AAGTCTTTCCAGCACCACAGTTCAAAGGCATCAATTCTTCGGTGCTCAGCCTTCTTTATGGTCCAGCTCTCACAGCCATACATTGCTACTGGAACCAGACTAACTACCCAATATTTTATTTTATAAGAATGAATAGGTGGCCTTTATTTACAGAGGCATTCTTGTAAATTAATGACATTGGAGTTCAAAATTTTACTTTTCAGGTTGTAAGAGTCTCATTTAATGTTTAATTTTGGAGCTGTTCCATGGGAAGTGTCTGTGAGAACATTGGTGTGTAGTGCTCAGATTCAGAGGGCGTGTCTCTGACTGAACAACTCCAGCTGTTAAGGTTGGCCTTCCCTTCAGTAAGATAGGAGGGATGTGCCAAACATTTCAACCCCAGAACGGGCAGTTTGAGTGTCCCAAGTATGGCTATTGCTCATTCCAAGATAGGATTGGCTTTAGAACACATGTAATGGCTTGTGCTGGGGTGAGGATGTTTTGTCATAGAAAGTCTTGCACATCCCTATCAGGTAGTAAAAATCCTACCACTCTCCAGTGGTAGAAGTAACAAGAATATTCATTATTTAATTTCTATACTGCTTCTCATTGATAAACAGTGACCTAAGTGTTCAACAGTGGTTTGAGAGAAACACACTTTGGAAGTTTTCAAATCTCTGTGTTACCAGAATACTGTCTAGGACTGCAGATGTAGGGGCCTAAATTTAGAGAAAAAATAGTCACACAGGCCAATCCTTCTTAGGATTTTTACCATGTATTTTCTGCTATGTACTTGTATTGGGACTCTTACAGTGTTCTTCTCTTTTACAGCCTTTTGGGATTCAGGCAGAATTAGACCTGAGGAACTGGGAAGTGAGAAAAAGCAGTCCAATGACATCAGGAGAGGGACTGAACAATAGAATGGTGTGTCTTTCTGATCCACAGTTGGTTTCCTGAATATGCAGATCTGAAAGTGGAAAGAATAGTTCAGTTTTTAGAGGAATGGAAAATAAAGACCAGTATCAGCCTTCTCCAAACAGATGTCTTCCGGATTTATTGGATTTCAGCTCCCAGAATCCCCAGAGAACATGGCCTACATAGCAGAGCTGATTTGAAGTCAAAAACTTTTGGAGGATACAGTTCCTTCTGTTGGAACACTCATATTGTGTTGGATAATTAAGAAAATATGCATGTGGATTAGCTAAAGTTATGGCTCACTTTTTCAGCAGTTGCAACTTTTGTAGGTAAATGTACAGTTTGTCAATAATAAAGGGACATTGAATGGAATTGTTTATCCAAGGGAGTCTCCATGTTCTTCCCAGTATTGGTACAATGTATTGACATCCTGACCCTTGCTCTGTGAAATGGACTAGTCAAATGTAGGGGTTATATTGATTTTGCTTAACAGATCAAGGACGTTTGATATTATATTCTATAAACAGGAGAAAAGGTAGAATATAAATCAAACGATTTCTCAGGGCTCTTGTAGACCTTTTTTATCAGGTTGTTTGATGAACCAGAATGCTACTTTGGGCTGTTTGTATCAGTGATGAGTCCGGTGCCTTTAAGATGTTTGAAACTTCAACTCATATTGGCCCCAGTCCACATGGGCCACGGCAAGGGATTGTGCAGGTTCTTGTCCAGGACACCTTATTCCTGGTTTATACAATGGAATTATTTTTCATACAGAAATATTAACGTACACAGTCTAATATACTTTCAGATAATGTATATTCTCAAGCCCCCCAAGTGCTATGTTATCCTTCAATTATAACAAAAGAGTGCTCAGACTGCAGTACTAAATATTTCACTTACATTGAAATAAATTCCATTGAACTCTGTTAATATTATTTGATTTGTATCCCATCGTTTTGTCCTGCATAAGATTTAACTTTCAGTGTACTTCTGGATAGATTGCATAAAATTGCAATTAAAAATATGTGAGCTCTTGGAATGTTCAAACAACACTATTATCTACAAACGAACTATTACAGCTTAGTGTGTTGTATGAACCTAGTCACTAGATGGCTTGCACACTATTTATTGCAAGCATTTTTATGTCTATTCTTTTAATTAGGTTTGGTTTTTGCTTGAAGTGGTGCATGAACCCAGCCATAATGTTTGGTTTGCACAGTATTTATTGCAAACATTTATTTGCTGGCTATTCCTTTAATTTGGTTTGGTTTTTGCTTGAAGTGGTACATGAACCAGCCATGCAGTTTCTAAACCATGATTATTTCTTAGATCAGGGTTCTCAAACTTTGCAATACTGTGAACGGATAAAAAAATAAATGAATTTGTGCAACCCCCCCCCCAAAATGATTTTGTTGGATTTGGGGTTTGGACAAAAAGACCAACATATACCATTTATTATAAGATAACTTCCATCATGCTTTCCTAATTTAGGCTTACTTTTATCAGCATTATTAGTAGGTTGGTCAACTTTTGATTTTCTCTTACTCAAGAGATGTTTCCGTTTTGAAAGGGTAGAAATTTAAAATAATAGAAAAAATAAGTTTCACTAACATACTTATACAGACACTCCAAAGACTACAGATACAGTATTACATATCACATGGCAAGTTACCAGCCAGTGCAAAATGGTAGACTGACAGGTTTAGTCATATCTCAAAAGTTGCTCCTGGTAGGTGAATTTTGACAGTGCTTCCACTCTGCTTGTGCAAGCCTGTTCAACTTTAAATTGTGAACTCCCTTGACATTTCTAGTAATCTCCACTTTCAGATTCCTTGTCTTAAGCCTCTTATGCTGGTTGGGAAATATGGGAGATGTAGTCCCAACCTGAACTGGAGCACCCTGGCTCAGGAAGGATCTTCTAGAGTCTAGACCTAGACTTTTCCTTTTCTGGGGTGGAAAGAAACCCAAAGCACTGAATCACAGACTGTCAAGGTTGGGGGAAACCAAGGAGATGATCTAGTCAACCCCTCTGCCAAATGTGGAATCCACCGTACAGCTTTTTGCTTTTAGTTCTGGATTCCTCATTTTCATTCATTACATTTCCTAGCCTTTCATTTGGTGGAGAGTTACTGTAATTTCCCCCCTTCTCCAGACCAGGTTTTTCTCATTTCTTTCAAATTCTTGGCTTGTCCACCTGTTTGCTTGCTAATTTAACAGGAAGGAATCAAAATAAAATATAAAAAGAACAAAAAATTCCAAAACAGCAAGGATAGTTACTACAGTGACCATATTGTATGTCCTTTATTTCAGAAAGCTGTCCTTTACATTTATTTATTTTCTTGGTTTTGCTCTTGAATTTTCCTTTGTAAATCAAAGTTATAAACATAAGCAATTTTTTAAAATCCTTATGACCCTCTCAGATTTGCCCCTTTTTCAGATTTGTCCTTTATTTTTTTCCAAGAAAATATGGTCACTATATATATAACTGATGCATTGCAATTCGGCTATTTCTGGAATTTCAAATATACAAGAACGTACACAACCACGTCCTGAATGTTTAATAGTGTAGAAAAAAATGATTTCTTTTGTTTTATCCTTCAAAGCAATATTGGAACTCGCGAATACTTATCGTTTGTCAACATTTCCCTCCACGCTGAGGTAAATGATTACTTTCACCTCCCAGGTGGCCTCTCTTGCCTTAATCTCGTTTCCCTCTCTGTGGCGTGAGCCGCTCAGCTTCGCTACCCTCCCCTTCAAAACCTCAACCATAGATAAAAAGCGACAATCCCAACGCAGCTTTGCTCTTTAGCACCACGCCAACGTAGCTCCGCCTCCCCGTTGCCATAGCAGCGGGGCAGCAGCCAAAGGCTGGGCGACCGTCAGCCAGGCGGGCGGCCGCGGGGTGGCGCCTTACCCTGGCCCCGCCCACTTACCATCTGGCCGAGGCAGTTGGAGCCTGGCCTTCGAGGGAGGAGGAGGCGCCGCTGTGTCGCGGAGGTCGGGAGCGGAGCTTTCTCTGTGGTGAAATGTAAGGAGGGAGAGTGGAAGCCGGTCAGGAAATGGCAGCAAAAATCAGAAGAAAATCTTCTTTCTTGCTGCTTTTAGGAGGACTCTGCGCTCGTTTGGTGGTTGGGGTATCTCAGGTCTGGAGTGTGGAGGAAGATGTGGGAAAATGAATGTGATAAAGGCTATGGGCTAGTGTAAGTCTTGTTAAACTCGGGAGAGTAAACACATTTCGAAGGAGGGGATGTGTCACTTCCTTGATCTCTTGTTGAAGTTTGGCTTAGCTTTTTTGCAGCCCCAGCTGGTATTTCCCAACCTGTTGCTCTCCAGGTGTGTTGGGTTATAACCCCACCATTTCCAGCTGCTGCAGCCATGCAGTTGCAGCCCTATGAGAGTTGTAGGAGGCCATCAGGCTGGGGAAGCTTATTCTAGTGGAAATGCATCCCCTCCTCTCAGAAAACAAAATACACTTCTTGACTCTGAAAATGGATCAATAGCAAAGGCATTGAAAGCCCAGAAAGCAGGGCATGAGCTGTGACTCAGGCTGTGTGGTGATCTGATCATATATAAAGATTATTTTTTTATGAAAGCTGAAATATTGAAAAACATAGCATGATGCTTTTTATGTACAAACAGGGCTGCAAGAATATTTGTTTATGCTTCCAGCCCTACAGTCTGCTGTTGTCCAGATGGGCTGGGTCTACCCAACAGCCAAGCTGGCTGGGAAAGTCTGTGGCAGCTGGAGAACACCAGGATGGGGAGGGTTGGTCTGCACTGCCTTCCAGCTGATGTCATCTCTGGTAACTGAGAGGAAGGTCCCTAGGATCCCATGCAAGTCTGGCTTCTGTTTACTGTGCTGGTAATCAAGTTGAGAAATTTTTTTTGCACTCTGTTCATTTGCATGATGCCTCCAAGTGCAGTAAAACATTAGCTTGTGAAAATATCTTCTGGTTTGACAGTTGGATTGTAGACAATATTTTATGTTATGATTAATAGTAATCACATGACGGCTTTCTTAAATCCTTCCACTGCTTTCTTATCTGCTTCTGCATCCAGCATAAGCTCCTTGTCCTTGATTTCAGAATCTTCATGGCTCTAAGCCTATTTTATCTTGTTCATTTCTTTTCTTCTGCAGTTCAAAGGTTTTCCTTCTTCTCCTCAGGAGATTTGCCGTTTCCAGAATTATTGCCTCTGTGCTTGGAATTGGCTCTACAAACAGTTGTATCATACCACTCATTTTTCTCAAAAGTAACATTTTCCACAATGCTTTTGACACCATCTGTATCTTATTTCCAATGTAAACCTGTAACTAACCCCCCAGCCCCAACGCATATAGCTGAAACAGAAGCTAGTATGGTGTAGTGGTTTAGGGCCAGGGAGACTGAGGTTCAAAGTCCACCCTTAGCCATTGGAAACTTATTGGGTGACTTTCAGCTAGTCACGGATTTGCAGCCCAGCCTACTTCACAGGATTGTGGAGATGAAATGAAGAGAGATCCTTGTGTAGGCCACCTTGAGCTCTTGGATGAAAGGTGGGATATAAATCTAACAAAATAAATATTTTTCTAATTTATGTAACCTCACTTTCCTTTGTTTTCTTAGACCATAAGCTACTCACAGCTAGAATCCCGCTTACTTGGGTATACAGCTTTCTTGTAGCAGGGAGCTACACATTAAAAAAAAAAAGGTTTTGGAGATCTGACTGGTAAAATGATATCACCAGAGTAGGTAGGTTTATTATTATTTTTTTTGGCCTTTTTGGGCTTTTGGATTCTAAGGGGCAAATTTTGCTCTATAAAATACTCCCCAGCTAAACAAAATGACCCAAAGAATTTCCTTAGGAATGAAATAAGTACCTAACATTTTTCAATGCTTATTCATTTTGCCCCTTAAAATTCCCTTTCCTCCAAACAAATGAAACCCAGATCAAATGACCTGCTCTTTCCGGAGGGAGCTCTTTAGGGCCTCAAAGTAAGTAAGTGGTGGAACCTGAGGTTATCAGTCAAATACTATTGCTGCATGATAGCTCTACATTAATTGTAATAATATAATAAAAGATTAATACTTCAAAACTGCGTTCTTCTCCAAATATTGCCCCAATCCAATGTCACTTTAGATGGATCAAACCTCCTATCAGCTCCAGCCACTTGACCAGTTGTGGATGGTGGAAATTCATATCCAAAATACAATGGAAGATAGTAGGTTAGGGGAGTTGTGCTCAACTCTCACTATGTCCTTCCTATTTTCTTACAACAACATGACGTGGTTTGTGTTGTCTTTTTCCGGGATTTCATTACCTCCTTGCAGTGCAGAGTTTATTTTTTCCTTGTAGTTGAATACATTTAAAACTGGTATGCATTAAACAGCACGTGGTGTAATTTGATGTGTGGGTTGCCCTCAGACTTGTGAAGTACCACAAGCCTTTTCTTCCTTGTTTTCTGTCTGACATAAATAAGGAACAAGAGGAAGTAGGTCTTAAATTTCAGCATTCTCCTGAACTGTGATGTAGTTTAGAAAAATGGTGTTTGTTTTCTTGTTTACCCCAAATAAACAAACAGTTTAGAAAACAATAGTATATTAACAAACCCCAGTTAAGATCAAAATTGATCCTTGAGATAATCTCAACTAGCTGCCTGTTGATTTTGTTGGAAGATGTTGCATGGGGCAACAGGAAATGCACACATTCCATGAATCAACATGGCTTGTACATTCTTCTTGGGTGTAATGAGATCTTGATAAACATGTAGCCAGTGTTGCATGGTGACTTGTGAGAATCAGTAATGTAATTGCTCAGAAGAAACCCGTGGAGATGGTTGTACGGTAAATGTATGCTGTTCTCAAGGCTAGAATATTGTGATCTCATACGGTTTAATGGGCTTGGAGCAAAACAGGATACTGCAGCAGCAGAGGTCTTTGCTGTTCACCACATATGTATAAATATGATGATGAATTGTAAAAAATACAGATCCTGCAGTATTCTTTACGGTCTGATTTAGATAGCTATATCCTCAAACCTATGAACATTACCCATTTTTAAAGTGACATAATCTTTTAGACATAGGAGGAGGAGACCTATATGGTAGCCCAAAATCAGGAGGAGTCTGGTAGTACTTTTTCAGACTAACAAATTTTATTAAAAGGCATAAGCTTTCATGAACTGTAGCTCACTTAATTGGATGGAAACGTATGCCTTTTAATAAAATTTGTTGCTGAAAAGACACTACCAGTCTCCTTTTGATGATATTTTAGAGTCAGCTAACCAAGATATTAGATGAGCTTTTTCCCGTCTTCTGTCTCCAAATGAATTGGGACTGCAACTACCTTCTTAAAATAGCCAGTGCTCTCTATGGATAATGGTAGTTATAGTGCACCACATTTATAGGATACTCAGTTGGGAAAAGTTGTATTACAGGAATGTGGAAACTGTGACTCCCTAGTGGAATGGCCTTGTTAGTCTCATAGCAAAAACAACAAAGCAGCTAAGAGCTGTTGTGTGACTAACACAATTATTTTTGTAGACACTTTCATGAATCATAATCTATGATGTATGAAAATTTATGCCACAAGTCTGCAACACAGGGACCAAGGCTTTCAAGCCACCCATGATATTCCACATATTACAGTGGAACCTCGGGTTATGAACGCTTCTGTTAACGAACTTTTCGGGTTACGACCAGC